CTTGACATGTGAGTTTTACGTAATTATTCATTAAATTGTCTAATCTCAGGAAGTCTCAGCATGTACAGCAAAGAAAGGCATCACTCTGGTTTCCAGTAATTCTGCAAGTGAACCCTAATGCAGCTTGAGGATGTGGACATTCACCAGTTAGCAAAGAAACATGCAGATTAGCAGAAGGAACAGGGCTCTAAGTGGTCCAGCTTTCACACTTGACCTGGCAATCCATCACATGTGACACTATTCTGTCAAACAGCAGCATATGTTTATGCAAAATCTGCTCTAAAGTATGGCAAAACGTCAGAAAAAGAAGTGAAAAGTCTAAGTTAGCCTTGGCAGGAATAAGTGTTATATAGTGACTGCACTTAGCTGATAAGGAAGGAAAGGAAGAGGATATAAGACAGTACGTTGTATTAAAGGTGACAACTCTGTATGGTACAGGAGCCTAGACCTCGTCCTTATCAGCTGCTGAAAATGGTAGTTGCCATGCAGAATCTGGAAGGAAATAAAGTATATGATGATTGGGAGGGGGAGTGCAAAGAAAAAATCCAAAAGGGAAGGCAAGGGAGAGGACAAGTGGACAGTAAGACAGCCTAACCTTCCAGAGAGACTAAAGCAAGACAGCTTATGTGATGGAAGAAGTGAAGAGCAGAGTAAAAAAGGTCCTAGGATTGCTGATGTGAAAATGAAACTAATCATAATCGAGGCCGAGGACAAAAGACAAGTTAAAAAGGAGAAACAGAGTGCAACCTAATATAAAATGCTGAGGACTTGTGGAGACATGGCCTACTGAAGAGCTCTCAGGATCATATACAGACCACAGCACACATTATGAGGCATCTTTACACTCAAGCAGCAGCTGAAAAAACAAAAGGCAAGCTGATGGTCCTTAGTGCAAATTTCTACTACGTGATAAAATTGCAGCAAGTAAGAAAAAGTCCTAGCTCACATACCTGAGAAGAAAGCTTCTGGAGCACAAAGACTTAAGCAAGCTGGTAACAGAAGGGAGGAAAGTGAGAGTTGAGGTGTCAAGAAAAGCTAAGGTCAAAAAAAAAAATGAGCATGATGTTAATCTGATGTTCTGTCAAGGCAGCTGGAACCACTTCAGGAAGGCTTTCTCCACTCCTCTGCTCTGACCGCATGCCACTGAGTACATATCAGAAATGGCCATTCTAAGGTGGATGTGGCTCCTATTTCTGCGCTACTCAGCTGCAATATAGATTACAAAAAAGGAAGAAAACTGTAATGCCACAAAAATTTGTAATGAAACTTATAAAAAACTCCATGCAAATGGAAAACTGCAGAGGGCAAAGCTGTTCTTTGCCACAACCTTTTCTGTCCTGTAACATCCTTGGTTCCCATAACACACCTCATAACCCATAAATAAGAAACTTGTTCCACATGGATCCGTGTCAGCTGACATAAGACAGGAAAAGCCAAGCTTGCTTTGTTTATAAAAGCCTTACAGTGTCCACATGTTACTTTTCTCTGGCTGGGCTTGAAGAGATACTTGCTGAAATCTGAGTTCTGATACAATGAAGAAGGTGGACACCAAGCACTACTGCAACATGGCACTCTCACTGGAATCGAGAAGGAACTCAAAATGAACCACTTACAAAGGAAATTATTAAAGTGACAAATGCCAATTGCAGAAATAAGGCTAACAAGCAGAAGAAAAAATGCCCAGTGTATGAAAACTGGATGTGACAGAGAGAAGGTTTTTTGGGAACTCCTTGAAACTCCAGTTGGACAGACAGATCACTTTTTTACTATTGATCTAGATTGTTTCATATCTTCAATGCCGCAAGTAAAGGGGTCCCGTTTCATGGAGAGGCACTGTCAAGAGACTGAAGTTCACTCAGTGACTTTTCGTTGGAAGAGGATCAATGCTGTCACACTCGAGTCCTCAAGACCTGACAGGTCTAATTCCAGGTCCTTTGAAATACTGCATTCAGCCTAAAGAAAAGCACTCTACTGTACCCCCAATAAGAGAAATTTAATTCCCTGCTGCCTCTGCACATCAAGCCAGAATGGCAAACTTTTGTAGGGCACTGCACAGGTGCACTTTCAGGTATGTCCTCACAATGCTTGCTTAATGTCAACTGTGACAAATTAGACAAATATAAAATCTTTTAAAGTGCCAAATCGCAGCCTCAGAACAGAAGCTTCTGGAGATCTTAGTGAAGCTCCACAAACATAGCTTAGCTTCCCTGTAATAGGCACTTCTATCTCCCAGCCCCTATGGTTAGGACATAAAGTTAATGAATACCGTTTTAACTTTGTAAACTCAAGAAGGGCAGTATAAAAGTGGAAAAAGGAATTCCAGTCTTTCACAAGGCAGAGCAAGACAAACTGCAGTAGGATACCTCCCACCTGGGTATTGCAAAACAACATGGATGAATAAATAGGCTGAAGTGTGCATACATCAGGATACCAAGCAAGTTATTTGCATCTGATGAATCCAAGATGTATCTGTAAGGACGGATGGACAGGCACATCTCTCAGGCTGCTTCCAACTCAGCTAGTCAATCTACACCATATGCAGATTACCTAAATGGCTCCAGGGATGTCTGCATCACCCAGTCAGTGCAGTCTCCATTAGAGATTCCAGCGCTAGCTGTGAGCAGGCCTGTAAGCCAATACAGCACTCAGTGAAATACTAGCTTAGGTCTTGGAAGCAATACAGATGTCTTCTTTAGCCTACACTCATTCATTTGCTTGTCTCTACCTTCCGGAGGCTGCTTCCTCCCTTAATATCTGTTCAAAACAACGACCTCCTCTCCCCAAAACAAAGCAAGAAGTGCACAAGACACATCCGCAGATAACAAATTCATGTGCTTTGCAGGCTGAAAAAGAAATATAGTTCTATTAAGGGAATAGGAGTATCCCTGAACTCTTATTGCAAAATTGGAACTTTTATGAAGCTTTTGTACATACATGATTGTTTTACCTTCCTAAAGATTTTGAAGCAAATGGTTTCACAAAACTATTTAGGTTTTTGCTTATATAAATATACTAATTGATATCTATATATGCTCTGGTCTATTTCTATAGGAATAGTGGAAGGTATAGCAATGCATTTACTTTTAGACAACTTGTAAACAACTATGTATATTATTTCACTCAGCCTATCTCTTCATTCAATTCACAAACATTTGAAATTAAAGGTCAAAAAAACATAATGGATGGAATCCACGCTGAAAACAATGGGGTAGCCAAACTAAGCTCTCCAAAGCAATCTAATGCACTGCACTGAACATCTATGCTTGTTGTAAGATGAGTAGTGTGACAAACACTACCTGCAAACTGAAAATTATCATCAAATCCCACTCGCATTGCACCACAAAGCCTGAGAGGAAAAACAGAGGTTTGACTTAGTATTTCCAGCAAGTTAAAAACAGAACCTCTCAGGAATCACAGGTGGAGAAAGAAATGTTCCACTTGGGATGAGGCACGGAACCCTTCACCCTTGCTAATCCCCTGTGATTTAAATCGTGCAGTCTCACTGATTCTACCAGAGGCTTACATTTAATGCCTTTATTAATTAGAAAAATTAATATGTTTAAAAATGCAAGCATTTAACAGTCTCACCAGGGTCGGCCACACCTTCCTGTCACTGCTGGGGAATGGGACAAGCTCCCATATCACTGTTTGTTTCTGGGTGCAGCACTGCATTTTTGGTTATATGGAATGGGAAACCCCTGATAGCGAGATGACGCCCTTCAGTTTGCTCTTGAGGGAAAAGGCACTAAAACCTCCTGCAGACTCTTGGCATCCTGCACTCAGGTAATGCAATGCAACAGCAGTCAGCCACACCTCCAGCTACACTGTGGCTACGCTCAGTATTGATTTTCTGAAAAGCTGGGTTGGGCAAAAGTAGGTGTATGAGATTGCACTGCAGAAACCAAAAGGAAATCTAGAACTCAAAGAAAATTTCACAGAATGGCACAAAAAACTCAAAAGCTTAAAAAAACCCTAAATAAATAATTTTTAAAATCACATTTTCACAGCTATTATTTTGCACCACTGGAAATACTGTGCAGGGTGATCTTTCTGCTACAAATTTCGGCATGTTTTTTATCCTCTCAGATGTTTTGTTACATTCAGATATTCACATTCCCACTGTTAACAGTCCCTTTTTTTCCAAAGCAGTAGGTTTTGACCAGGAGTCAGCTAACCTCTCTAAGACTAGCAGCTGGAAAGTGAAACAAGTATTACTGACGCCATTAGTTTTGTGCATCCAGCCTTGGGGTTTTGTTGCTGTTGCAGTGGGGAGTTTTTTGTTTGTTGTGGTTTGGGTTGGTTTGGTTGGTTGGTTTTGGTTTTTTGGGTTTTGGTTTGTTTTTTTTTTTTTCCTGTTCCCAGTAAGAGATTGCTGACTAGTCAGCTCTGTACAGTTTCTTTCTCCCATCATTCATACAGAAAGTTCTCACACTGTCCTTCTGTCATCCTCTGTTGACACTGGAATATGATCTGATTTCCAGGTGCTTCTCTCTGCTCCCTTTTTTCTTCTGCTCTACATTCAGATCAGAATAAAAGCAGCCTATTTGTTCACCCCAATTACAATGCAAAGACTGTATGGGATAGGCTGAAAAATGGTGTGTCTGTTCTGACCCAAATATACCACCTTACAGGGAAATATATGCAATAAAGTATACCAGTTCAAGTTTCTTTTTTCCCACTTTTTAAAATGCATGCATACCATTAATACCTGTGCTCAGGGTTCACCATGGAGTTCTGTTAAATCACAGAGCTGGATTCAAATTTATTTCTGCTTCACCCTGGGAATTCTTTTTTGCAAATCAGCATATGTACTCACTTTGGAGTCTAAAGCAGCAGGTGTCATGTTCAGAGGAGGGACAGCGATGCATCCACTTCACAAAAAAAGCAAAGTACAAATTGCTACCGTTTAGCAGAAGGAGAATTTAAATTTAATTCCACTATAAGCAGGGAGAACAAGTGGTGTGTGTGCACAGGCTGGCAGCAGACGCATGTGCACTTACCTCAGCCCACTGCTTGGCTCTTCATCGGAGGAGGTGCCGTTGCAGATATTGCCGAAGGAGTGGCTGGGCTTCAGCTTGGGTTCCTCACAGTCTAAGGCAGGCTCTCTTTTCTTCCTCTTGCTGAAGAGCTTCTTGAAAGGCTGGAATTTGCCTGCCTTTTTCTTGTCTGCGGATGACAAGAGAGAGCGGTGCGGGGCTGAGGGACGCGGCTGGCGAGCACACGCCGCGGCAGAAGGTTCAAAGGAGGAATGAGGTCAAAGAGCAAGTCACCAGCCCGGAGCAGCCCAGCACTTGAGATGTAAATGCCGGGCTGCAACTTGCTGTTGACGCGTCATATTGACAAAGCAAAGGAAAGAGCACTAAAACATCTGTTCTTGGGTTTGAGGATCTGCTTGGGGGTGTCAGCACAGCCGAACATTTCGATGAACAGAAGGGATAATTTTGCAAAGCCAGAATGTAACAGTGCACCTCATTTTTAGGCTTTACACCACAGTTTTGAGCATTTTACCAAAAGACAAGCACTGCTTTGGTCGTCCCACTTTGGAAGGTGCTGGATCCTCTGCCTTGAATTAGAAGCAATTGAAACCAACTAGCTGTGTTTTAATTATGTGTCCTCATAACTAGACAAGTCAATTTATATATGAAAAAAGAAAACAGGATAAAGTTCTGTTGGTTTGCTGCTAGGTTACTTCAATAAACATCCAGCTTTATATCAGCAAAGTTAATACATTTCTCTGACTTTTTTCCCCCAAGTGACTGAGGACAAAATTTGACCAAGCATTTCTTCCTTGAGACATTGAAATTTTCAAAGCTACACTGAAAAAGCATAACAAAAACACAAAACAGACATGAAGACAGAAACAAGAAATAAAAAACTCAGCCAGACTTAAAAGACTGGAGAAAATAAAGGCAGCTTTCAGGCACTATCCCCACATCTATTAAAAAGAAGTACCATAATTTTCTTGTTAGCCACTGTGAAGAAAAGGTTAATTTCTCAGGGCTGGGATGCATCAAAGAATATCTGAAACATAATAACTTTTTAAAAGAGTTTTATTTCTTTTCTGCTTCACTTTAATTTTACACTGATTCTACTTGGAACAAGCTAGTGATTTTGGTGGGGGTTTTTGGGTTTTGGGGGGTTTTTTTGTTGTTGTTTTTTGTTTGTTTGTTTTGGTTTTTTTTGGGGGGTTGTTTGTTTGTTTTGTTTTGTTTTAAAGAAAACCCAAGTCTCAGCCTCCTGTTATAATATAATTTCAGAAACATCATTTTGTACTGGTGACAAATATTTTCATAAGCTATTTAAATTCCTGTATGTGCTTTTCTCACAGTCTATTTGCATACACACTGCCTCAGCATACTCCACTCTTCCTATGGGCTGTGGCTCAACAGAAAGCAAAGGTTTGGTTGGAAAGTATATGGAGACCCCTGTAGGAACATCTGACCATGAAACCTGGAAAATCTTATGTAATGCAATAGCACTCTTCAATTCCACATTAGGTTTTACACTCCACTCTGCTGTACCTGAGCATGGCAAAGCCAAATCTGGGTAACACCCCTTTGTAATTGCTGGAGGCATAGCCTCAGAGTATTCAGAGAAAGAAAATGTGCTCAAGCACATTGTGATCTGCCTACTTCCTGTGGTAAGTAGTTTCCAAACTAGCATGGTGCCAGGGAGCCTGAGTTGAACTTGAGGTGAGATCAAACTTACACAAAGTTAATCTATCTGTACCTGATTATGGATGAAGTAGGACACCCAGACTGACATTATAAAGTCAAAGATGTAACAAATAGTAATTCTGCATTTCCTTTAAAGATCCCTGAAAAGCTCACCCAGACATAACTCCTCACCTCGGGCAGTCAAGATACACAGCATTTGTGCAACTTGGTTAAGACAACAAGGCACCCCAGTAGCAGCATAAAAATAGAAAGCTGAATTATGAACCTCAAATTCAGGCACAGCATTAGAATTTTTTGGTTCAGAATCACAGACCCACAGTGAGCAGACAAGAAAAACAACAAGTGCTGAAGCAGCAGTTTTACCAGGGTAGAAGAAAAAGGGCTACGAGAGTTTACTCAACCTGTCTCCCAGCTTTGCTTTCCATAAGCTGACCAACTCAGATCTCCAGCCAGACCAATTTTTTGCTGCTCAATTCTGAGTTTAGAGAAATATATTCTTACATGAAGCCCCTAACAGACAGGCAGGCAGTCATGCAGAGAAAGAGAGAAATTATTGCTCTTGGCCAGAGCTGCTCCAACCCTTCACACGCCTCAGAAACTGACTGCAAACCCCCATAAATCAAATGGTAGAGCATACAGAAGAGAAAGCATCAGTATTGGACACAACACTGGGGGAAAGAGTTATGTGTCCACAGTTCCCCCCTTACCTGTTTCCTCCGCCTTCTTTGAAAGGGAAGACTGTCATGCCATTTCCGCTGGTTAATGTAATTTACTGCACAAATCAATTAAACTACAGCATTTTTAAAAAAAGGTTCTCACCATGTCATTCCTCCCCATTAGCCCTGTCCCCTCCTCTTTTGGAGGTCTTCAGATATAACTGTAAATCGCCTCATTGACTTTAAATCTACTGTACTGATTCACCAACTATGAATCTAGGTGTTGAACAAATATAACAGGTCAACACAGCTTTCATTTCATCAAAATGGGTGAAAGCCAACACTCCTATCTCCAGTCAAGATCTGCTTTTCTCTATGTGATTTACCATGTCCCTTAGCTGTTTCTGCTGCATACCCCATCATCATAGTTGTCGCATTACTAAGCGTGAATTCTTTAAATTAGGCTTTATGACTCATTCCAAAACCAATGAACACCCTTCCCTGCACAGGCTGCACACGCTGTCCCCCATCCTGCCAGCAGCCTGCCCTTCCAGGTATCTAAGGAAGGAATGCCTGACCCCTACGACAAAGTCTGTTTAAGTAAATTTTTCACAAGATTTTACGGGGGAAGATATGGGATGATATCACCTATAGGGTAAAATGCTTCAGTAAAACAAGTACAAAAAGGAATCCAAACATCAGCAATGCAACAGACAATGCCCTGCACAAAAGCCTTTTGAATCTCTAATGCTCAAACACAACTCCTCCCTTCCATTCATCTCTAACGCTGAGAGAAAAAATGGGATAGGAAAGGCTGAAGGTTATGACACCCAGTGCTGTCAACTTGCAACAAGGACAATTGCTGGGAGTGCCAGGAAATAATATGGGCCATTTGCTTCTCTCCTTAATCGCTTGAATGGGAATCCTACAGATCCAGCCCCAGGAGACCAAGGGAAATTAGTAATTAAATCTTTTTCCTGTCTGTTTGACAAGTCTATCTTGTTCAAATCACTGTAAACAGTTAACAGTAAATCAGTTTTGAATCACAGAATAACATAAGGTGTGAAGGCGACAGATAAACAAGTTTGGACACACTAGCTGGAATAACAGAGCACATATGGTAGGCGCTGCCATCTCAGCTATCAGAAGAGCAGCAGAGCAGATTAGAATAATCTTTAACCTGTCATATAATTTATCTGATGCACAAAGACACACGGTGCCTAACATAGAGCCAATTAAAACGGAGAGCATCGGCATCATGAAGGCAGCACATGGTCCCTCCACTCCCAGTGGCAGAGGGGAGCAGCTTCTCCTCTCACACTCTCTCTTTCATGCTCTCCAAGAAAGATGAAAGCGGGTGCAATGGGCTTTACTGCCAGTAAATCAGTCACAGCCTTTGGACTCCAGCTGGCAAAGTCTTATCAATGTGCCAGCTGAAAATTCCCCATAAGATATCTTGCTGTTAAACTGCTCAAATGTCACGCAAATCCATTGGGATTCCTAGGCTTAATTCTTCCCTCATCCATCCCATCAAAACAAGCACAGAGTCCTCAACACAAGCACAGGTCAAACAAAGATTTAACTACCATGATTATAGAGGGAAGAAATTTAAATGACTGGAAAGAGAGTGAGCAGTGTATCCCAAAAAACAGGAGCAATGCAGGGGTGAGGTTATGCCAATAGATGGGATAGAGAAGATGCTAATGTCACTGGAAATACCTGAAAAATAATTTTCAAGCAAAGCAAGCTTCACATGAGATACAAAAAGACTCATGTAATCATAGAAAAGACACCTAAATATTTAACAAGGTGTTGGTTCCTTGTTTTGCCTATTTGCTGCAGTGATGAGGGCACTCACAGTAGTGTGGGTGAGGAAGCCTACAAGGTGAGACCTCTTAAAGCAGAGCTGACCAAACACATGCATCAGCTGGTGAGTAGGAAGATGACTGTTGAGGTGAAAAACAAATAAAACCAGGATTCACAGTGTCAATTTGAAGTTACTGTGGCCAGGATTTTTCAAGCCCCACATTTGAAATGGGGTTTGCAAAGATTTCACAGACTTTATTGCTCATTATATGAGATGCCACATCTGTTTATAACACTTCTCCTAAACTGAGATATTGCACAGGGCCTGTCTCCAAAAGAATGTGTTCCTTGTTAGTGAATTTAATGGCTACAAAATATGGTGCAATAAGCTAGATTAATGAGAATATGAATTATTAAATTGAATAGAAATTTCTATAATGAATTTAGGGAATGAACATCCATGTGCACACATCATTAAGAACTGTGTGGACAGAGGGCAGGTGGGTTACTGCTCTGCAGGCTCAATAAAGCAGCCAAGGCAAAAAAGGGAACTAAAAGATATTAAGAGGGTAAGTTGATTGACATCTCTAATTACATCTCTACAACAGAAAAAGGCTGTTATGAAACACAATACCAGTAAAAAAACCCACCTTGATTTTAAGCTAATGGTATTTCTTATTGATGCTCTTTTTAAAATAACATTGGATGTATCCACTACAATAAGCAGTGCCCTGCCGAGCTCCGGGTTGACCATGCATCTGCACAAACTTGTTTGCTTTTCAGGTCCCCATCAAAAAGCCACTCTTCCCTCCTCCTTGCCTAGTCTGTTCTCACAGGGCATAGAGCTTCACTGTGCAAACCAGGATTGACACTTGCCTCCAGCTTTCCCACCCACTAGACGATTCAGTACAATAATTTCTGCAAGTCCCCAGAGATGCTCGTTACTGATATAAATTTGCAGCACTCCCTGGAGAGGTGTTTCCACTCCTTCAGGAAAGGGAAACAAATTGTTTGGGATCACAGAGTA